CTTGGTTATTATAGTCACAACACATTCATCTTGGTTGTTATAGTCAATCTGTTTCCTCATCTTGGCTATTTCTATTTCTGAGATGAGGAATTATCATTATTATACACTGATTTATTCAATCTGTTATCCTCATCTTGGTTATTTTCTGATAGTCACAACGTTTCGTCTATTTCTGAGATGAGGGATTATCATTATTATACACTGATTTATTCAATCTGTTATCCTCATCTTGGTTGTTATAGTCACAACGTTTCGTCTATTTCTGAGATGAGGAATTATCATTATTATACACTGATTTATTCAATCTGTTATCCTCATCTTGGTTGTTATAGTCTGAGATAAAGGAATTATCAACGTTTCAATCTGCTATTTCTGAGATGAGGGCTATTTCTATCATTATTATACACTGATTTATTCAATCTGTTATCCTCATCTTGGTTGTTATAGTCACAACGTTTCGGCTATTTCTGAGATGAGGAATTATCATTATTATACACTGATTTATTCAATTTTTCTGTCATCCTCATCTTGGTTGTTCATCTTGATAGTCAGAACGTTTCGGCTATTTCTGAGATAAGGAATTATCATTATTATACACTGATTTATTCAATCTGTTATCCTCATCTTGGTTGTTATAGTCAATTTCTATTTCTGAGATGAGGAATTATCCTCAATCTGTCATCCTCATCTTGGTTGTTATAGTCACAACGTTTCGCCTATTTCTGAGATGAGCAATTATCATTATTATACACTGATTTATTCAATCTGTTATCCTCATCTTGATTGTTATAGTCACAACGTTTCGCCTATTTCTGAGATGAGGAATTATCATTATTATACACTGATTTATTCAATCTGTTATCCTCATCTTGGTTGTTATAGTCACGATGTTACAGCTCGTGTATCCTCTGCTCCTCTTCTCGGACATGCGTTAGTTATTATTCTGGGCCCGTTTTCTCCGGTTTTTTCTTCCGCTGATCAAACCAGTGACTTCTTTCACAATTACTACGTAACTGCAGACTTCTGGTTGATACAATAACAGAAACTTTCGGCCTATAACATTCAAGATAAGAGCTTTGTTCCAAAAGTTCTTAGCCTCACCCAGAAAAAAAGATCCATAGTTGAACATTTTTGTTCTGGTAACAAACAACTGCTTCTTGCAAAACTAGAAAAACTTATTCAGATTTCGCTCTTAATTTCTGTGCAAGTGAGGCTCATACAAATTTGAGAGATTTACGATAAATCTAAATTTACAAAACAGGGGCCTGAGCAGAAGTTAATACACTTGCTGAGGACTCTATTTCCTATGCAACGTTGAAGAAATGGGCAGTGAGATCTAAGCGGGACAGGGACAGTCGTCTAATACTCTCAACCAATGATGAATAAGTTGCCGTCATTCATCGTATGGATTTGGATGGCAAACATCTGTCCAGCAGATAGCCAGGCTCATAGGTATTAGTTCTGGCTCGGGTCCTTACTGGTTTAATCGGAGATGAGCAAGCTGTCTGCAAGATGGTTCCCAAGAATGCTGACACCAGTGGTGAAGCTGAAAAGGGTTGACATATCCAGGAGACTTCTGATTTGCTTCCAGGATAATCTCTAGAATTTCCGTCGTAGATTAGTGACTCAAAATAAAACCTGGGTTCACCATTTCGAACCTGAATCAATTCTGCGAGAAAGACACTTCTGGTTCGCTTCCAGGCTGGTCTTGAAGATTTACACCGTAGATTAATAACTCAAGATGAAACCTTGGTTCATTACCTCGAACCTGAATCAAAGATTCAAACAAACAGTGGAAACACTCTGGTTCTTCACCCCTAAGAATTTCAAGCAGGCCGTGTCTGTTGGTAAGGTGATGACTTCTGTGTTTTGGGGATTTTGAAGCCGTAATCATGACAGAATACCTGTAAAAAGGAAACACTATTAATGAACAGTAATATGCATTAAGTAATTAAGACAACTGAAGGGAGTAATCAAGTCGAAAGGCAGAAGGAAGCTGAGGCCAGGTGTGCTCTCTATATATTAAGAAACTGACAATTTCAAGGGTTCATGGAATTATAATGTATTTCATTAACACCGTGATTCCATGGAGATATGAAAAATTAGGGTCAAATTCCTGGTCCTAAGGAAATAAATTATAATTCCATGAACCGTTCACACTGCTCAGGTTGCAGTAGCTGCAGCAAACAATTGTGGCTTTAATTTGCTACTTTATCCTCTTTACTCACCAGACTGGACTTCTTCCTGTTTCCTAAATTCATATCTCACCTGGGTGGTCATCATTTTCGAAAACATGTTGAGGGCACTTAGGGCACCAGAATATCTTAAGGGTTCTTGTCCCTATTAATCTTTTAAGGGTTTAGTGCTCCCATGAACCTTTTAAGGGCTTAGTGGCCCTATGAATCTTTTAAGGGCTTAGTGTTTCTATGAATCATTAAAGGGCTTAGTGTTCCTATGAATCATTTAAGAGCTTAGTGTCCCTATGAATCATTTAAGGGCTTAATTTCCCTATGAATCTGTTCAGGGTTTAGTGTTCCTATGAATCTTTTAAGGGCTTAGTGTCCCTATAAATCATTTAAGAGCTCAGTTTCCCTATGAATATTTTAATGGCTTAGTGTTCCTATGAATCTTTTAATGGCTTAGTGTATTTTATGAATCATTTAAGTGCTTAATGTCACATGAATATTATAAGGCCTTAGTTTCCCTATGAATTTTTTAAGTGCTTAGTGTTCCTATGAATAATTTAAGTGGTTAGTGTCCCTATGAATCTTTCAAGGGATTAGTGTTCTTATGAATCTTTTCAGGACTTAGTGTCCCTATGAATCTTTGAAGAGAGTAGTGTCCCTATGAATCTTCAAGGGATTAGTGTTCTTATTCATCTTTTAAGGGCTTAGTGTTCCTATGAATCATTTAAGGGCTCAGTTAATATTTTAATAGCTTAGTGTTCCTATGAATCTTTTTAGGCGTTAGTTTCCCTATGAATCTTTTAAGTGCTTAGTGTTTTTATGAATAATTTAAGGGGTTAGTGTCCCGATGAATCTTTCAAGGGATAAGTGTACTTATGAACCTTTTAATGGCTTAGTGTTCCTACGAATAATTTAAGGGCTTATTATCCCTATGAATATGTCAAAGGATTAGTGTTCCTATGTATCATTTAAGAGCTCAGTTTCCCTATGAATATTTTTTCAATGGCTTTGTATTTTTATGAATCATTTAAGGGATTAATGTCCCTATGAATGTTTTAAGGCCTTAGTTTCCCTATAAATCATTTTAAGGGCTTAGTGTTTCTATGAATAATTTAAGGAATTAATGTCCTTATAAATCTTTCAAGGGATTAGTGTCCCTATGAATCTTTCAAGGGATTAGTGTCCCTATGAATCTTTTAAGGGCTTAGTGTCCCTATGAATCATTTAAGTGCTCAGTTTCCCTATGAACATTTTTATGGGTTAGTGTTCCTATGAATCTTAGTGGCTTAGTTTTTTTAAATCATTTAAACGCTTAAGGCATCTTTTAATGTTTTAGTTTCCCTATGAATCTTTTAAGGGCTTAGTTTTTTATGAATAATTTAAGGACTTTGTGTTCCTATGAATAATTTAACCAAATACTATATATATATATATATATATATATATATATATATATATATATATATATATATAAAAGAAAAGAACAATAAGATATATAATCCGGTATTCTTATAGATATTTTATTTTTTACAAAATAGTGCTCAATATAAATTTACAGAGCATTAATATTATAAATTAATTGATTTAAAATATGCTTTTTTTTCGCGAAAAAAAACATATTTTAAATCAATTAATTTATAATATATATATATACTTTGAAGCAAGTGAAGCAATGATAAATTTGACGAAATTCAACAATACATGAATCTGACAAGTACCTGTGTGATCAGTACCTGTCAGCATCAAAAATAGTGGATACACACATGTTATGTGCAATGAGATTGGTACGTTAATATATACACTGATAATCTATCTATCTATCTATCTATCTATCTATCTATCTATCTATCACAATCTGTTCATTATCTATCTATCTATCTATCTATCATAATCTGTTCATTATCTATCTATCTATCTCAATCCGTATATATCTATTTATCAATCTATCTATCTATATCAGGCTGATCCTATCTATGTTAGTCTTTTCATATCTATCTATCTATCTATCTATCTATCTATCCCATTCTATATCTATCTATCTATCTATCTATCTTAAACCTAGTTTGACAGTCGGAAGCATTTTGTTGCACTCAAAGATCAAGCAGATCATTGACTCAATGAAGGACCGGCGACGTCCGAATCGTCAAATAAATAGATTCAATCTTCTTTTTTTACACCTTTCCTCGCCAAAACCCCGGCTCCCCGACTTTTTCCAAACTTTCTAACGTTGACGTTGCCCCCCCTTTTGTCTTTTGTCGCTTCTGACTGGCTTTTCCGGGGCCACTTGCGCAAACACAACGTATCACCTACTTTTCCAATCTTTCCACTGTAACTCTCCCCAACCCCCATCCCGTCAAAATGCACGCGCACGTGGTTCTGCTGACACTCTCACACCGTCAGAGAGACATGTGCAAAACGGATGCACGCAGATGCACAAACACTCACATTGGGTCACGGCAATCTCTACACAAAAACATTTACATAAATAGATAATTCGATACACACGTACACACATTATTATCTTAAGAAGCGTCCCGTTCTCTGTCATTGCTTCATGTCTCCGCCTCTGTGGATGACCAGGAGATAATTGTATGAATAATCCCCACCCCTGATCCCGATCATACTGCCGCAAGGCTCATTACTCTTGCCCTAGGGTCATATAATCTCATACTTTTAAGACATAAGCGTAGCGTGAATAGAGCTTAGTGTACGGCCCATTAATTGAGCCGACATCAGCTCGTCTAGTCATCTAGCTGTCGCAAGGCCCCAGGCACTAACCCCTCGGGCATGTTTGTGTGTGTGTGTGTGTCTATCTTAAAAAGCTCTGCTACATGGCTTGTCGTAACTCGAATAACAAGAGACGATGCCTCTGGTAACCCCGTGTCTCTGAGCGTCATCCAATTGCCTGAAGCCCTGTCGGACGAGAGGAGGCCAACTAATTCTACGTTCCCGCTTGTGTTCCTCTGGGTTTGTTTTTTGGCTTTGGGAATTGTTGAGGAGTGGGCTGACTTGGTCGGATGATAAGAGATAGATATGGAGAGAAAAAGAGAGAGAGAGAAAGAGAGAGAGAGAGAGAGAGAGAGGGGGGGAGAAGGCGGAAAGGGGTGAGGAGGGTGGAAGAGGGAAGAGAATTCGCATTAATGAACCAAAGCGGGAAAGACATTCGAAGAAAAATCTAAAAATAGAAACTTTATTGAAGTCTAAGAGAAAGCGAGAGTAAGAGGAAAAGCGAACGAGAGAGGAGGAGGAGTGAAAAAGATAAAAAGAAAAGGAAAGAAAGTAATAGAGAGAGTGGAAAAGGAAAGGAAGTTGAGAGTTAGAGAGAGAGAGAGAGAAGGAAAGTGAAACAAAGAGCGTGAGAGCAAAAGAATTATAAAGAGAAAGGAAAGGAAAGGGAAAAAGAGAAAGTGAGTGATAGAGAACGAGAAAGTGAGAAGAAATGAGAGAGAGAGACAGACAGACAGACAGACAGAAAGTTGAAGAGAGAGAGAGAAAGAGAGAGATAGAAAAAGAAAAAGAAAGAAAACGAGAAACTAATATGATGTGTGAGAGAAAGCGGGAGAGGTAGTTACCGAGGAGAAGGAAAGAAGAGTTTAAAAAAAAAACAGAGAGAGGAATAGATAGAGAAAGGGAGAGAGAGAGAGAGAGGAGGGAGAGAGTAGGAGAGAGATCGAGAGAGATCGAGAGAGAGAGAGGAATAGATAGAGAAAGGGAGAGAGTAGGAGAGAGATGGAGAGAGATGGAGAGAGAGAGGAATAGATAAAGGGAGAGAGAGAGGAGGGGAGGGAGTATGAGAGAGATGGAGAGAGATGGAGAGAGAGGGGAATAGATAGAGAAAAGGAGAGAGAGGAGGGAGAGAGTAGGAGAGAGAGATGGAGAGAGAGAGAGGAATAGATAGAGAAAGGGAGAGAGAGGAGGGCGAGAATAGGAGAGGTAGATGGAGAGAGAGAGAGGAATAGATAGAGAAAGGAAGAGAGAGAGGAATAGATAGAGAAAGGGAGAGAGAGAGAGGAGGGAGAGAGTAAAAGAGAGAGAGGAATAGATAGAGAAAAGGAGAGAGAAAGAAAGAGTGTGAGAGAAAGAGTGGAAGGGAGAGAGAAGAGAGAATGAAAAAGAGAGAGAAAGTACAGGGGAGAGAGAGAAAATGAGATAGAAATAGAAAGTGGAAGGGAGCGAGAGATAAAATAGAGAGATGGAGAGAAAGTGGAAGGGAGAGAGAAAGAATGAGAAAGAGAGAGAAAGTTTAAAGGAAAGAGAGAAAGAGAGAGAAGTGGGAGAAGGAGAGATTGAGAAAGAAGGAGAAAGTGGTAGAGGGAGAGTGACTGGGAAAGAGAGAGAAGGTGGAAGGAAGAGAGAGAATGAGAGAGAGATAAAAAGTAGAAGGGGGAGGGAGAGAGAGAATGACAATGAGAGAGGAAGTTGAAAGGACAGACAGAAAATGAAAAGAGAGAGAAAATGGAAGAAAAATAATGAGAAAGAGAGACGAAGTGAAAAGGAAAGCGAGAGAGAGAGAGAGAGAGAGAGAGAGAGAGAGAGAGAAATTGGAAGGGAAAGAGAGAGGATGAGAAAGAGAGAAAAGTGGAAGTGAGAGTGAATGCGAAAGAGAGAGAAAGAGGAAGGGAGAGAGAGAATGAGAAAGGGAGAGAGGTGAAGAGAGATAGAGAATGAGAATGAGAGAGAAAGTGGAAGGAAGAGAGAGAGAGAGAGAGATAAAGAGAGAGAAATTGAAAGGGAGAGAGAGAGAGGATGAGAAAGGAAGAGAAGCTCTAACATACGAACAGAAAGGGAAAGAAGTATAGACCAGAAAGAAACAAGAATTTGAGAAAAAATAGATAGATAGATAGATAGATAGAGAGAGAGAGAGAGAGAGAGAGAGAGAGAGAGTGGTGAGAGTCCATAGAGTCCATAGTTTATGATGGGAAACTACAGGAAGGTAGGGGATGAGGTGGTGGAGAAAGGTAGGGTTAGATGGGAAAGAGAGAAAAGAGAGAGGATGAGGTGGTGAGAGGAAGGTAGGGGTTATGATGGGAAATAAGAGAGGGGGGAGAGAGAGATGAGGTGGTGAGAGGAAGGTAGGGTTATGATGGGAAATAAGAGAGAGGGAGAGAGCGAGAGATGAGGTGGTGAGTGGAAGGTAGGGTTATGATGGGAAATAAGAGAGGGGGAGAGAGAGAGAGGTGGTGAGAGGGAAGGTAGGGTTATGATGGGAAATAAGAGAGGGGGGAGAGAGAGATGAGGTGGTGAGAGGAAGGTAGGGTTATGATGGGAAATAAGAGAGAGGGAAAGAGCGAGAGATGAGGTGGTGAGGGAAGGTAGGGGTTATGATGGGAAATAAGAGAGAGGGGAGAGAGAGATGAGGTGGTGAGAGGAAGGTAGGGTTATGATGGGAAATAAGAGAGAGGGAGAGAGATGAGGTGGTGAGAGAAGGTAGGGGTTATGATGGGAAATAAGAGAGGGGAGGCAGAGATGAGGTGGTGAGTGGAAGGTAGGGGTTATGATGGGAAATAAGAGAGAGGGAGAGAGAGAGATGAGGTGGTGAGAGGAAGGTAGGGTTATGATGGGAAATAAGAGAGAGGGGAGAGAGAGATGAGGTGGTGAGAGGAAGGTAGGGGTTATGATGGGAAATAAGAGAGGGGGGAGAGAGAGATGAGGTGGTGAGAGGAAGGTAGGGTTATGATGGGAAATAAGAGAGAGGGGAGAGAGAGATGAGGTGGTGAGAGGAAGGTAGGGTTATGATGGGAAATAAGAGAGAGGGGGAGAGAGAGAGATGAGGTGGTGAGAGGAAGGTAGGGTTATGATGGGAAATAAGAGAGAGGGAGAGAGCGAGAGATGAGGTGGTGAGAGGAAGGTAGGATTATGATGGGAAATAAGAGAGAGGGGGAGAGAAGAAAAGGAGAGATTCAGAGAGATGATGGGCAGGATAGACGCTAAGAAAAAAATGAGAGTTTATGCAACAAGTAAGGACCAAATTAGAAACTTGAAGCGGTAAAAAAAATGTGATTCTCCCGACCAAAGAAAGCACCATAAGGAGAACATTAAAGCAACAAGGAAGTTTGAAGGAGAATAAGAACTACAAAGGAATACTTACAATCGGAACGAGACAAAGGAGGAACGAGGGCTTGGAGAATCTAATACTTAGAGGTTATATCAAAGGCAAGAGAAGCAACCAGGAAACAGTGGGTAACCTGTATAACGAGTTTGTTGTGAAGGTTTAAAAAATCATTTCACTCAAGGAAGGGAATAAAGCCACTAAAACTCAAGAGAACATGAGAAAAGAAAAGAAAACAACAACAAAAACACTATTAAGCAAAAAACAAATAAAAAAGATAAATTAATAAGACAGAAGACAACGATTGAGATCGAATTTAAAGTTGACTGAGAAACCGTTAACATAGAACTTACGGTGATATCTAGCCATTTCAACTGCAAAATGATGAGACATTGCTGTGAATCCAGTACTGCGTTTAAATTCATGAAGTCGAGACACCAAAGACGAAAGTTCATCGCAACAATTACGATGGAAATGTGGATAGAAAAGACACAGGAAAACTATGTTGTGGCGGGAGGAATGAATGCAGAGGTAATTATAATGTCTACACTCTCTGTCTGTCTGTCTTTCTATCCATCTCAGTCCAACTCATCTATCTATCTATCTATCTATCTATGTGTTCATATCTATCTATCTATCTATCTATGTGTTCATATCTATCTATCTATCTATCTATCTAAATCGGGTGTATTTTGGGAAGAATTTTCATTTATTCTTGTTTTTAATTGAGAATCCTCGAACGTTTATAATTTTTCGACGCACAAAAATTAATTCGAGACAAAAAAAATCAGGAAGTTGTGAAGAGGCATTGACCATTTCTGTCCTGAAAGGATAGGGCACATCGATAGAGAATCAAAATCATGAGTCCACTGAAACTGCTCAATCTTCCCACTCCAGCATCGAGTTCAAAATCGGTGACGCGGCCTTGTAGGTGATGGCACATTTCCCACTCTGTAGCCTCTTCGTCACAGACGCAACTCTTTCCCATCCACGGTAAATCTTCAGATTAGCTCCACTCTTTAGTTCAGACCTTTACAGCCAGGGCTTTCTATTCTATGTTCACAGAGTTGAATCACCCACATTTCTTTCTTAGTCCATTCGTGAGAAGGAAGTCCCATTCAGATAGCATTTTTACGAGAACTGTTATTCTGTAGAACAAACTCCCACTTGGATACATCACTGACCACTATAATCTGAGCCTCTTCAAATCAAGGTTTAATAATTGTCTATCCTCCTTATTTTCACAATATTGTCACTTTAATCAGTTTCATTACAGCATTCAAAATGATCTGTGAATATGAGAGGATTAAAATAAATAGACGTCATAACTTTAAATTATTCAACCATATATATATATATATATATATATATATATATATATATATATATATAATACTAAAATTCTGTGATTTCGTACTTGCGTTGTGCGTCGTTCGTTCGGCGTATAATAATTTAAGTTAAGTGAATAAGATTGAAAAATACGAATTGTTTATACAGTAAGTATTTTTATTTTAACTTTCTTCAGACAGACAGTTTTTTAAATTAAAATATTTTTAAGTTAAAGACAGGCACAAAGATGTCCCGCTTTGCTGTTTCGTCCAGTTATTTGTTGAGTAATTATTTATATTTCAGCTTTCTTTAAACAAACAATATTTTAAATATTTAAAATTTTTTTTTGCCATATTTAAAAATATTTTATTGTAGATATGTCAAAACAAATTGGCAGCTGAGAAAAAAGTGGAAATAAAAAAAAGAAAGAACTAAAAATATCCGAACAGGGCGAAACAAATCGTCCAGTGCCTTAAGTTTCTAGTACAAAGAAAAAAACACCAAGCTAGTAGTAAGACTAAAACATAGAGTGCTCAATAGGCTAAACAGAGTGGAATAACTAAAATGAATCCTAAAGAGCCAGGCAAACCTACCTAGGTTTCACTTAAACGGATCTTCAGGGTAAGCTGGCTAAAAAGGAAATGAAACAGTATTTAATGATAAAACCATTAAAAACCAATAAGCATAAAACCACGTGATCAGAAGAAGACAAAAAACAAAAAAACAAAAAAAACAAAAAAAACAAAAAACAAAACAAAACAAAAAGACCCAAAAAACCCAATGCCAACACCTATTTAGAATCTCAGATCTTTGATTTAATCAATTATTAGGTTCATTATAAGTGGCGATTCGGTTTATTTCTTTGTATTTCGACATTATAAACCACACACACCTGTTGGCACCTGCCCTTAAGTAAACAGGCGTCCTTATTTCTACAGTTACATTTAAGGCGGTTGCGGTGTGGTTTGTCTATGATTTTTTTTACTGTTATATTTATTAATTAAGTTAGTCATATTTGGCATACAACTATAACTTAATTTAACATAGTTTTTATTGAAAATTTCATACAATACATTTTTCGGGAGAAATTCTTTTTTAGTAATCTAAAAAACATTTTTCCTATTTTAGTTTTAACTGCTAAATTATATGGCGGGGGTGGGGGTTAAACCATAATATCTTCCTGGCTCTATTTTTGTGTTTGCCTTGCATGTTGGGGGAGTTACAAGCATCAGCATATATTAAGTTGCTTTTGTGTCCACTATTTTTCAAGGCCTTTTCATAATCTTGTTTATTTTTATTAAAGATATTACCATTAGATGAATTAGTGAACAATCTATAACTAATTACGTTAGGTATATGTTTTAAAACATGTCCAAGGTGGTTAAAATCTATGTCAATATAACGCGGCTGTTATTCGCTTTCCTTAAATGTGGAAATTGTGCACTTATGTAGGTCGAGAGTAATGTCTAAATAGTGACTTTTAAATTTTCGAAAGATCCGTTTAGGTAAAACCTAGGTAGGTTTTCTTGGCTCTTTAGGATTTATTTTAGTTATATATATATATATATATATATATATATATATATATATATATATACTGCATAAGATATATATATATTACAATGAATCATTCATACAAAAAGTAGATTAGTAAAGTTAATGATATAAAATGGCGAAATCTCTTCGCAAACAAAATTTTAAAGTTGCATCAACCTACGAACCACTCGATGAATGTTATGATCCTTGTTTTAAATAACTACAAGCTTGTATAAGGTCTTTGTTTAATCTGCAAGTACTTTCAACTGTGCATACAGTCATCGTCAGGCATGAAAATTATTTTGTTTTTAGTAAATCTAGGTAGTATCAGAGACGAAAGATTAAATGCGAATCGAAATATGTTTTTTTAGAAATGTGTTATTGTTAACGGATACAAACGTTTGGAGCGTGCAGTGACAACGTTAAAGTTGATTTTTTAAAAAAATTTAAGTGAGTGCATTTTTTACTAATATGGTAATTTGAGAATTTTTTGTTGTAGGAGTTTATCAGTCAATGTGGCATAAACTAAATTGTTCAATAAATAGTGTAATGTCTCAGCTGTTATCCTGAAAATTTGCATGTCGGATCAGTTCATTTAAATCAAATATGTGGTGCGATTTAATTTATATTACAATGAATCATTTATAAAAAAGTTTTTATATTTTTATATTTTATATATAAGTTTTTTGTATGATTGATTCATTGTAATATAAATTGAACTACACCACATATTTGATATATATATATATATTTGATATATATATATTTTTTGTAGTGATTTTATAACGTATTCATGTTATAATTTTGAAATAAATAAATATATATATATATATATTTTGCAGTGTTACATTAGAACATGCACATATACATTACAAAATTGTACATTTTTGTTTCAATGTCAAAAAAGGGAAAACCTTATTATTATTATTATTATTCTGATGATACGGACCGTATTAGATTTCTTTTGGTACTTCTATTTCTAGAATACTTAGGGCGACAATAAGAATAATTGTTTAAGAAGAAGAAGAAGAAGAAGAAGAAGGAGGAGGAGGAGGAGGAAGAGGAGGAGGCAGAGAAGAAGAAGAAGAAGAAGAAAAGAAGAAGAAAGAAGAAGAAAAAGAGAAGAAGAAAGAAGAAGAAGAAGAAGAAAAGAAGAAGAAGAAGAAGAAGAAGAAGAAGAAGAAAAAGAAGAAGAAGAAGAAGACTGAGTTTGAGTAAGTAGTGGAATTAGGTATAGGAAAGATAAATAATAGATTTTGTATATTTATAAAAGAAAGGAAATTGTGGAGAACCATGACCGTCTACGTCTTGAAGGGACACGGCACATAGAAAAAAATCATCAATGCCTGTCAGAACGTTCTTGGTCTTCCAGATTAAAATTTTTAATTCTGAACTTTCCGAACCACTTAAAAACGAAACACTCGTCTACAGCACCATCTCTATAAATGGCACACATCTTTTTTGCTGTTTATCCGGAAAGAAAAACAATGCAAATGTTTCTCACTTTCCTCCATTTTCACTTTTAGTCTAAAATCATTTAAAAATTCGGTGGTTGAAATATCACTCATCAGAATACGTATTAAGTTGAGCCATAAATAATTTCCGTTTTTGCTTGTCAACTTTCCATATCCAAATTCTGGGCCTTCTCACTCGTGTTGGAGGAACCCCTTGCATGCTGACCCTGTCTTCAGGGGTGTAGCCCTACTCACGACTCTGGCCCAATTGCAGGTTGGAAAAGGCCGTTAAAAATCATGGTGGTGAGGGTGACCTTCATCCGCCTTTTAACAGGTGTTATTTTTTTTAATGCGGCAGGCGTTCGACTTCGCTTCCTCACGGGACCAGATTTTGAGGGTGGTGCCGGTTTAGTCGTCGACCCCCTCAGCCAATCAAGTTTTGAATTCAGAACTGTAATTCTCCTAGACCGGTTGCCAATCAGTCTGTCCTGTTATTTACCCATAGCTTGGCGACGATAGATTCATACTCTTTCTTTCTTTCTTATCTATCTTAGTCTTTCATTATCTATCTATCTTAGTCTGTTCATTATCTATCTATCTATCTTATCTGTTCATTATCTATCTATCTATTCTTAGTCTATTCATTATCTATCTATCTATCTTAGTCTGTTCATTATCTATCTATCTATCTTAGTCTGTTCATTATCTATCTATCTATCTTAGTCTGTTATTATCTATCTATCTATCTTAGTCTGTTCATTATCTATCTATCTATCTTAGTCTGTTCATTATCTATCTATCTATCTTAGTCTGTTCATTATCTATCTATCTATCTTAGTCTGTTCATTATCTATCTATCTATCTTAGTCTGTTCATTATCTATCTATCTATCTTAGTCTGTTCATTATCTATCTATCTATCTTAGTCTGTTCATTATCTATCTATCATCTTAGTCTGTTCATTATCTATCTATCTATCTTAGTCTGTTCATTATCATCTATCTATCTTAGTCTGTTCATTATCTATCTATCTATCTTAGTCTGTTCATTTATCTATCTATCTATCTTAGTCTGTTCATTATCTATCTATCTATCTTAGTCTGTTCATTATCTATCTATCTATCTTAGTCTGTTCATTATCTATCTATCTATCTATCTTAGTCTGTTCATTATCTATCTATCTATCTATCTTAGTCTGTTCATTATCTATCTATCTATCTATCTTAGTCTGTTCATTATCTATCTATCTATCTATCTTAATCTGTTCATTATCTATCTATCTATCTATCTTAGTCTGTTCATTATCTATCGATCTATCTTAGTCTGTTCATTATTTATCTATCTATCTATCTTAGTCTGTTCAATATCTATCTATCTATCTATCTTAGTCTGTTCAAGAAATCTGGCTATCCATCTATCTTAGTCTGTTCATTATCTATCTATTCATCTATCTTAGTCTGTTCATTATCTATCTATCTATCTATCTTAGTTTTCATTATCTATCTATCTATCTTAGTCTGTTCATTTTATCTATCATCTATCTTAGTCTGTTCATTATCTATCTATCTATCTTAGTCTGTTCATTATCTAATTATCTATCTTAGTCTGTTCATTATTATCTATCTATCTTAGTCTTTCAAATCTATCTATCTATCTTAGTCTGTTTCATTATCTATCTATCTATCTTAGTCTGTTCATTATCTATCTATCTATCTTAACTGTTCATTATCTATCTATCTATCTTAGTCTGTTCATTATCTAAAACAATCTTAGTCTGTTCATTATCTATCTATCTATCTTAGTCTGTTCATTATCTATCTATTATCTTAGTCTGTTCAATATCTATCTATCTATCTTAGTCTGTTCATTATCTATCTATCTATCTTAGTCTGTTCATTATCTATCTATCTATCTTAGTCTGTTCATTATCTATCTATCTATCTTAGTCTGTTCATTATCTATCTATCTATCTTAGTCTGTTCATTATCTATCAAGAAGGTAAATAAAGCGAAAGTGTGATAATGCAGAGGGATGGTGGGAAAAGAAATACGAACGTTTTTATAGATAGATAGATAGATAGATAAATACATACATACATACATGACTGACAGAGTCGGTGGGAGTAAAGAATCCGTAGTTTTCAACCAGTAGAAGGTAGGGATATGAGAGATGGTTGCCAAGATAGTTGCCCAGGAAGAATGAGAGCCTAAGTAACGAGTAAGGGTGAAATCAGAGACTTGGAGCGAGGGAAATGTGGTTCTCGACAGAGAGAGGGAAATTCATTACTCGATATCTGTAACTAAAGGCGAAAGAGATCCAAAAGGGAGATAGAAATAAATGGCAAGAGAAATCAAAAGAAAACTGTAGGGGGAGGAGTACAAAAAGATAAAACGAACGAAAATAAATTTGGCGGGAACATAACCAATGAAATAGAAAGCAATGGCGGGAAGGAAAAGAAAATGGCGGGAAGGACAAGAAAATGGCGCGAAGGAAAAGAAAAAAATGACGAAAAGATGACGTAAGAGAAAACTAGGCGGTAAAAAAAATGACATTTTGGTTTTCTCGAATAGGAAAAAAATATTTTTTAAAATATTAATCATCGAATAAGATTCGAATACAGCCTGATGAAGGAAACTTTTAAATTAAAGTTTCCTAACTGTTCTCTAATATTTAAAATTTAAAAATAACTGTTTTCTTGTTAATTGGCTAAAATCAGTTGCAAACATGAGGCTAAGGTAAACTGCAAAAGATGAAAAACCAAAAATTTCGGGCAAATTTTCAAAAACAACTTCCGGTTTAAAAAAACGTGGGAAATCTCGTAAAATCCATTAACATTTAAAAAGCCCTAAATAGCAGTAATGATAGAAACATTACTATTTCAGACCATATGCTTTTAATATGGATTCTATTTAATAATAATAATAATAATAACAACAACAACGACAACAACAATAATAATAATGGTACGAGGTTCTAGCACGTTCAGAGATCTTGAAAAATAGCGTGTTAATCGGAGGCCAGAATTTCGTTATCTGGCAAATTTGGGGAAAAATTAAAATCCTCGCAAAATAAATGGACAGTTCGACCGTTTCGTCTTTTAATAACAGACAAATTGTTTTCGAATTCAAAACAATTTAAATAATTTTAATTTTAAACAGACCCCCACCCACTCTCGTTAAAGGCACATCCACCCACTTACTGCAGGGACTAATCGCCATGAATGGTCCTTGTGGATCGCATGGAACCATCTGGAAGATAAACTGGTTTCTCTTCGACGACTGAGTCTTAGGATACGATGATTACCACCTTCATCACCATTCCCATAAATGTCATAATCACAATTTTGAAAATGTCCCTGTCAGTGGGGCTTAGGATATGTCGACCGCAACCCCGACAAATGAGTAAAACCCTAAAAAAGGGCCAGCTTCAAATGTCTACCTACGGACGGAAATGTAAAGCGGACCCATAAATTTCTTTTGACTCAACTACAAATCCGATAGTTTTCTACATTTTAACCCACGTATAAACCCGAAAAATGTCTATGTCTTTGATAGTTGGCTTGGCTGGTTTTGTTTCGCGGCATATCAACATCTATAGGGGTTATTTATTTTTTGAAGATGATTTAGTGATATTTCACCACGAGCAAGGCGATAAAGCCACTAAGGCGCAAGCGTTTACTGAATATGAAAGACTGTGAGAAAAAGGAAAAAAATTATACGGAGAGACAAAAATAAAAGAAGAGGAATTAAGAAGACAGAAGATAACGATTGACATTGCATTGATATTTTTGAAGATCAAAGTTGACTGGAAAGTAAGAAGAGTGAAAGAGAATTAGAAGACTTTAGTGAAGGGAAAGGACAATAAAAGAAGAGGAATTAAGAAGACAGAAGATAACAATTGACATTGCATTGAAATTTTTGAAGATCAATGTTGACTGGAAAGTAAGAAGAGTGAAAGAGAATTAGAAGACTTTAGTCAGGGAAATCTCCTGTATCCTGTTCAAACAAGTACATTATATTATACATAATTTTTTACAGTACACTGGCATACACGATTAATTAATAATAATTGATAATGCTTCATCTAATAATAAATTCAAGGTAATATTACAACTAATACTACTTATACCCTCCATGCCAATAGAGCAATGGTTCTCAACCTTTTTTTTTTGACCTAGGGGCCTTTTTACTCTAATTTTTGTGGGTGGACCCCAATAACTATTTGATGGAAAAAAAAAAGCTTTATTTTTACTAATAGATAAGTTTAGGAATTGTATTATAGAAATATTTAATGCTTATGTTTTATTTTGAAGTAAAATTAATTTAATGAAAATAAACTTTGTATTTAACAACTAAATTCTATGGTACATTTATGTACACTAGTAAAATAAATCAGAATAAACCATTTTAAAATATGTGAGGAATTAATAAATTTAAAAAAGTGCAGATTTATTCAATGAGATCCTTGTGCTTGATGCTGCTCTTTGAGTTTTTCTTTTTATTTGGTTCCATCTATTATATCGCCATCTGATTTTCAAGGACAAACTGGTTTTTTTTTCTAAACTTTACACAATCTTCCTATTGGATCCCGGTGTACCAAAATCTCCTGTATCCTGTTCAAACAAGTACATTATATTATACATAATTTTTTACAGTACACTGGCATACACGATTAATTAATAATAATTGATAATGCTTCATCTAATAATAAATTCAAGGTAATATTACAACTAATACTACTTATACCCTCAAACTTTTTTTTTTTTCATTACCTAGGGACCACTTTTACTCTAATTTTTGTGGGTGGACCCCAATAACCATTTGATTTAAAAAAAAAAAAAACTTTATTTTTTACTAAAAGATAAGTTTAGGAATTGTGGAGAAATGGATAGCGGCTCGGATTGAGGAATCGGAGAGCCGAGTTCGAATTCCAGTTGAATCCATTACATTCACTTGCTAATACCCTTGGGAAAGGTATGAATCCTATTCTTCTCCCTCCAGCTATGGGTAAATAACAGGACAGATCGGGTTCTATAGCCTTGGATGGCAACTGGTCTACTACAGAAAGAAATGGTGAAAAAAGCGAGAAAAAAAATCTGCCTCGTCAGTCATGTATCAAAAGATACATGATCACCTAAGCGTGGCACATAACTGACTAACTAACTTTCCATTACATTCACTTATGTGCTAATACCCTTGGGAAAGGTAAGAACCCCCTTCTTTTCTTCCCAGCTATGGGTAAATAGCAGGACAGACTGGGTTCTATAGACTTGGATGGTCTATTGCAGAGAAAAATCTGCCACGTCAGTCATGTATCAAAAGATACATGGTCACCTAAGCGTGTATCACGCATGACACATAACTGACTGAAATGTATAAGGTTTATTTTGAAGTAAAATTAATGAAATTAAACTTTGTATTTAACAACTAAATTCTCTGGATCATTTATGTACACTTGTAAAATAACTCATAATAAACCGTTTTTAAAATGAACCCTTGTGGACCCCAGGAATGTTACACGGACCCCCAGTTGAGAACAACTGATTTAACACAGGAAGACGATATTTTGAGCACACAGTAAGGATCAAACTCATTTAAGATGTAATCCTTTTCACAACTTGCTCGTTAACCTCCACTTTACGGCAAAGTGAAATGTTTGCATGTAGTACATTGTCTGCCTGAACATGCATAGAAATCGTCTGATTTATCAAATATTAGCCACAGTTTTCGTAGGCACCATTCCAGATGTCATTAGCCCCGTTTGTCCTTGTTTGAAAGAAAGGTTACTAAATTTCCAATTATTCTATATTAATCGATTTGTCTCTGATTGGACCGAACGTTGCCTAATTTCGATCTCTAAAGGAATTTGATTAGCAATTGAATCAGTTTTTCGATTCCTACGTTGGTCAGAAATTGAACGGTATGGAGTGACCATACCATTTACACCTGTAAATCGATAAACAGCCGCTTATAAGCAGAGCATTTGCTTCTATGTCGGTAATTCTGACTGTTGATCTTTAAGGCTGTGGTGAAACGGCCATCCAAAAAGCCGACTTCAATAAAGACGAAATCAAATTTGCTTTCTTTCTTTCTTTCTCTTTTACAATTTCTTTCTTTCTCCTTTTTGTTTTATGCTTTTTTATATTTCTTTCTTTTTTCTTTCTTTATTTCTTTTTCTTTCTTTCATTCTTTCTTTCCCTTCTTTCTTTCTTTCACAAATTTCTTTTTATCTATTCCTTCTTTCTTTCTTTCTTTCTCCTTTTTATATTTCTTTCTTTCACAAATTTCTTTTTATCTATTCCTCCTTTCTTTCTAGATTTTGCATCTTTTTCTTTCTTCCTTTTATTTTTAGAATTTCTTTCTACTTTTTGCCCTTTCCTATTTTTTTTTATAAATTACTCTTTTTTTTCTTCACAATTTCTTTCTTTACAATTCCAGTCCTTTTAAAATTTACTTCCTTCTTTCTTTTCTCATATTTTTCATTTTTTACAAATTTCTTTTTATTCTTTCTTTCTTCTTCTTCCATCTTCCATTTTCTTTTTCTTTTTTTTTTAAATTTGTTTGTTTGTTTCTTTCTTTTCCTCCCATATTTTTTCTTTCTTCTCGGTAATAAATAATAATTCTCTTTTATCACTCATTCATCCCCCCACATATTTTCTTTCTAACACTCTTGTAAAATCCGTCATTCCGACTGTCACCAATATCAGTCTATTTATGAGAGAAAACAGGTTCGAAAGATATCCATAACTGTTGCTAATCACCAAACATTCTGGGTTACTAAGAAGGTCAAAGTTCAGATTTTTTCACTGTAATTGAAAATTCGAGCGAAGAATTTTCAATGAATATTTTACCTTTAAATTTAATATTTTTACTGATATTTGTATTTACA